ATGAGGGGGACACCGACAAGAGCACGTGGGAGAGGGTGGTGCAAGGACAGGGGGCACCTACATGCCTGGGGAACCCCGGGTTTCCCATGCTGGGGGCTGCAAGCACACCTGCAGCAAGACCTGCAGCCCCCAACCCTGTCCTGCTATCCCTGACACCACCCTACTGCTTCCAGGACATCCCAGGGGATAGGAATGGGACAAGGTTTCAGGGGGGATTCCCCCCCCCACCTTGTTCAGGGGATACCCAGACCCCTCCAAGCAGTGGCTGGGTCATTCCCCGCCTGAGTCCTGTCCATAGCAGCCCCCAGCACCAAACCACCAGCACCACCAAGGACAGAGACAGGGCTGCCCCCAAGAAAGGGCATTCCTCCGTCATTCTCTCCTACAAGGGCCACATCCACCCCCAGGGACACAGGGGACCCTCGGCAACTCAGCAGGGTCTGCCCTAGGGCCACCCATCTGACTCCACAGTCTCCCTGAAGCCCCCCCACCCATCTACCCCCTCCCCACTGGCTTCAGGGCATCCCCCCACCCCAGCAGGCAGGGCCCCAGCTCAGGGCTGGACAAGGGGTAAGGAAAGGCTAAGCTCCCCCAGCCTAGTGGGAACCCCCAGGCCCCAGCCCCACGGCTTTGCAGAGACAGCACCACACCATCAGCACAGCTCCCGGAGGACAGAGGTGACGCTGGGGAGGCAGGTGAAGCCAGGACAGGGCTGTGCCCCCAGCCGGAGACGTGCGACGTGCAGAGAACAGGAGCCCGATCAGGGCAGGGTGGCCTGGGGCCACTGGGAGCGCAGGACTGGAGATGCAGGTGCTGCTCAAGGCCCCGAGTCCTTTTTCCGTTTCTGGAAGCGGCGAAACTTGCCCTGGATAGCGAGCGCAGCCTTCTCTGTCTCAGGAGCGTTCAGGTCTATGTCGATCTCCTCTTCCTCCTCCACCTTCTTGGAGTTCCCGGCTTTGGCTACAGGGAGACCCAGCTGCCCTAGTTACAGCCTGCCTGTGTGAGGGGCACCCACCAGCCCCCCCAGCAACCCTGGGGGGCACTCTGCAAACCCCCTCTCCTCCAGCACCAGCCTGGGGCAAGGGCAGGACAGAGCAGTCTTATCCCCACATCCAGCTGGGGGACGTTATTCCCCACAGCAGGGACACACATCCCCACGGGGCTGGGAGCAGCTGCGAGTGCAGGGTCCCGGCCAGCCCTCGTGGTGCAAGGGAGGGCCACGCTCCCACAGGGCAGCGGGGCACAGCCTGGAGCCCTCCTTGCTCCGTCAGGTGAGCCCTGGGGGGTCGGAGCAGCACGGAGGGCTCTGCTGTGACAATGCGCCTTCGGGGGAACAGGGAGTCCCTTCACCTCGAAGCACCCGTGCACTAGGAAAGCAGCTCCTGCAGAGCACAGCCGGGGTTTCCTCATCCCACCGGTGCGGCACAGCCACTGAGGCGCCCAGCTGCCGTAGGGTGCTCCCGGGCCAGCCCCAAACAACGGGGCCACCGCGCACCCTCACCTTTCTCCTGCCCGCCGGGGGCCTCCGTGGAGGTCGATGACTCATTGGAGCTGAGCTGCAGAGAAGGAAAGCAGCGTTCAGTATGCGTGCCCCCCACCAGAGCCCAAGGAAGCGGGGTCTCGAATGTCACTACGGCTGGGTGGCAAAGCCTATATGGGACCACCCGACACGGGGACGCTCCCCGAGGGCGGCGAGGAGAGCGCAGGCAGCCCCGGGG